CCCAAACCTTACACCCCGAACCCTAGGCCCCAAATCTTAAACCTTAAGCCCTGGACTTCTGAACCCTAAACCCTATTTAAACCAATCCCTGAACCTTAAAGCCTTAAAACCCTAATCAATCAATAAACCCTAAACCTTAAAACCCTTGACCCCTCAACCCCTAACCCCTAAACCCCAAACCCCTAAACTCCTAAAAACCTAAATCCCTAAACCCCTAAAACCCTAAAACCCTAAGCCCTAAAACCCTAAGCCCTAACCCCTAAACCCCCAGTTTAAGGTTTAGGGTTTAGGGAAACAAAGCAGTCTCAGGTGAAGATGCCTCCGCCGGTATCAGCGGCGCCCACCCCGCCACCAGCCCCTGCTGCGGCCCAGAGCCACTCTCAAGAACTTGTGAAAGCGGGTTTTAAAGCATAGTTATATAGATATAAGTGAATATATATATATATTATGCGTATATATATATATATTTGCATTTTGACATAGGGATGAGTGGGGTTTAGGGCTTCGTTGGCCTTAATGAGTAGAGTCTTAGGATCCCTTTGCAAGAGTCAAATGGTTTAGACACAGTTTAGGTTTTTGGGGCTTTGGGGGGCCTGAAGACCTAGAATAAAGGAGAACCAAGTGGAAGAGACGACGAAAGGATGGAACGGAAGTTGCTGTTCTACAAAGGAGTTTGTACGGATTGTATTGTAGGGGCTGAAGAAACCGGACAGGGATTTGGAGTATGCTGCTATTCTATAATCCTGGAAAATCCAGCCCTTTTGTTGATTCCAGGGTCATCCACAGTTTATAGTATCAGCTAGTGCTTGGGCGTCAGGTATTGGGGTTTAGGGGTGGGGGTCTGGGGTTTAGGGTTTGTTGTTTTAGGTGACGGCCACGAGGTCAGGAAAAAAGGCAATATGGAGGTATCATGGATCACGTGCTAGATCTCGGTTCTTGTTCTGGTTGTCTTTGATGTTCCTGATGCTTGCTGAAAACCCGTAGGGAGGCGCGTATGTAAACTTGTAAGTGGGTCGTTAGATGGCTTGTTGCGTCTCCACTTTGCACGCTTATTTGCCCTAGCCCGCGCAGGGATAGCATAGACGAAAACCGCTCCATGAGATAAGGTCTGCCTATACAGGAGTTCGTCATCAGACCTTGCCTACTAAACCCTAAACTCAAGGCTTAGAGCCTGGAGGAGGTCAAAATTTTTCAGCATCCCCAGAAACTGGCCGCTTCCCAGGACCTCCCCCTTTTCAGGGCAGGGTCCAGGACCTCCCCCACTGCCAGGGCCTTTTCATTCAAAGGCCTGCCTCTCAAGGGTTTCCCAGGGCCTCCCAGGGCCTCAAAGCCTCTCGAGGTCTCTCAAACCCTGCCAAGCCTTTCAAGGCTTTTTAGCAGCACCACCTTTCAGAAACCCTAAACCCTAAACCCTAAACCCCAAGGCCTTTCAGGGCCAAGGGGCAGGGCGTTCCAGGCCTCGGCCTTCCAGGGGCCTTCCAGCCTTTTCAAGGTCAGGCCAGGGCTGGCCAATGGGTTAGATAGGGAAACTACTATAATGGAGAATCAAATGGAAAAGAAAATGGAAAATGAAATGGAAACTGGGATTATATGGGGGTTATATTGGGATTATATAGGGATAATGGAAAATCAAATGGAAACTACAGGAATTAAAGGGGTTATATAGAGATTGTAGGGTACATATTGGGGTAATTTTGGGATAGTGGAAAATCAAATGGAAACTACTATAATGGGTTATACACAGATTATAGGGTATATATTGAGTTTCCTTCCACAACCTGGGTTGCTGTTAAGGAACTTAAATTAAGGGATTATCCCCTATAATGGAGAATCAAATCGAAAAGAAAATGGAAAATGAAATGGAAACTGGGGGGAATATAGGGATTAAGGAACTTAAATAAAGTTACCAAGGGCCTTAACAGCAACCAAGCAACGGAGACTCCCACAGGGTGAAAACCTTTGACCATTTTTCAGGGGGACTGCAAGAAAGTTTGAGATCCCTTCAACAACGACAACACCAAATGAAAAGATTTGTGTTGTTGACCAAGATGGCCCTAACTGAGGGAGTAGGTTTGGGTGGCTTGGCCGCTTCACACGGCGCGGGGTGGGTGATTGGTTCGATGGCCCTCTACAGTCAGGTCATGGCAGCACCTCGCATGCAGCCATGAANNAGAGTCCTTGACACCTAATCATCACTGCTTGCACGGTAACTCACAGCAAGCCCTTAATTAACCTTAAACCACTATATAACCATAAAATCTTAACCCTAAGCCCT